CCTTACGCGGGCAGCTACGCGCCTGTTGGCACTGACGGCACCGTCTTTTTTGCGTTGCGCACCTGGCCTTCCCCAGAGGAAGAAAAAGCGGCGCACATTTTTTTCGTCGGCGGCGAGACAGAGGCAGTCCGCTCCAGCGTGTGGCCAATCGGGGCAACGGGAAAGCGAAGTGCGCTCAGGCGTGGAAGGGTTCCGCGTCGAGCGGGCCAGAGCGACGGGACGCGTGGAGGTCCGCGAAGATTTGTGGGATCTGCGTTGGCCCCGCTCCGAGGCGCGCAGAGCGCCCCAGGGGCGGCGCCGGAGGCGCCGCCGAGGGAGGCCCAGCGCCGACCCCAGACATCCGCGCGGAGCTCTGCAAATTTATCTTCATGCCGTGCTGCAGCGTCGGAGCAAACGACCTCGTTTTTTTCCCAACCATCCTGTGGTGTTGGGTCCTCGTTTTGAAGAGACGTCGCCCCGCGTTCTCCTCCTCTCCTCCTCTTCCGCCTCCTCTCCCCTCCTATCATCCTCATCGTCATCATCCTCATCATCATCGTCATCATCATCATTATCATCATCATTATCATCATCATCGTCATCCGTCCCGCACACCCATTTTGGCACACCCCTCACACGTTTCGTGGCCCCATAGGGAGCTCCACCTAAGGTCCAAGTGGCGCAGCTCGCATGGCGCCACCGCCCCATTTTGGCACACCCCTCACACGTTTCGTGGCCCCATAGGGAGCTCCATCTACGGTCCAAGTGGCGCAGCTCGCATGGCGCCACCGCCCCATTTTGGCACACCCCTCACAGATTTCGTGGCCCCTCAGGGAGCTCCTTTTTGGCACACCCCTCACACGTTTCGTGGCCCCATAGGGAGCTCCACCTAAGGTCCACGTGGCGCAGCTCGCATGGCGCCACCGCCCCTTTTTGGCACACCCCTCACACGTTTCGTGGCCCCATAATGAGCTCCATTTACCGTCCAAGTGGCGCAGCTCGCATGGCGCCACCGCCCCATTTTGGCACACCCCTCACACGTTTCGTGGCCCCATAGGGAGCTCCACCTAAGGTCCAAGTGGCGCAGCTCGCATGGCGCCACCGCCCCATTTTGGCACACCCCTCACACGTTTCGTGGCCCCATAGGGAGCTCCATCTACGGTCCAAGTGGCGCAGCTCGCATGGCGCCACCGCCGCATTTTGGCACGCCCCTCACATATTTCGTGGCCCCTCAGGGAGCTCCTTTTTGGCACACCCCTCACACGTTTCGTGGCCCCATAGGGAGCTCCACCTAAGGTCCACATGGCGCAGCTCGCATGGCGCCACCGCCCCTTTTTGGCACACCCCTCACACGTTTCGTGGCCCCATAGGGAGCTCCATTTACGGTCCAAGTGGCGCAGCTCGCATGGCGCCACCGCCCCATTTTTGGAGCTCCATCTACGGTCCAAGTGGCGCAGCTCGCATGGCGCCACCGCCCCATTTTGGCACACCCCTCACAGTTTCGTGGCCCCTCAGGGAGCTCCTTTTGGCACCCCTCACACGTTTCGTGGCCCCATAGGGAGCTCCACCTAAGGTCCACGTGGCGCAGCTCGCATGGCGCCACCGCCCCTTTTGGCACACCCCTCGCACGTTTCGTGGCCCCATAGGGAGCTCCACTTACGGTCCAAGTGGCGCAGCTCGCATGGCGCCACCGCCCATTTTGGCACACCCCTCCACGTTTCGTGGCCCTAGGGAGCTCCACCTGAGGTCCAAGTGGCGCAGCTCGCATGGCGCCACCGCCCCTTTTTGGCACACCCCTCACACGTTTCGTGGCCCCTCAGGGAGCTGCACCTAAGGTCCCAGTGGTGCAGTTCGCATGGCACCCCTTCACACGTTTCGTGGCCCCACAGGGAGCTCCATCTCAGGTCCAAGTGGCGCACCCCACATGGCGCCGCAGACCCACTTTGGCACACCCCTCACACGTTTCGTGGTCCCATAGGGAGGGAGGAGGAGGAGGAGGAGGAGGAGGAGGAGGAGGAAGAGGAGGAGGAGGAGGAGGAGGAGGAGGAGGGAGGAGGAGGAGGAGGACGAGGAGGAGGAAGAGGAGGAGGAGGAGGAGGAGGAGCAGGAGGAGGAGGAAGAAGGACCGCCCTGGCCGCTGTCGCCGCCGCCGATGCCGCCGTCGCCGCCGTCGGCGCCGCCGTCGGCGTCATGCTCGCGGCCCCACAGGCGAACGGGAGAGAGGGTCCCCTCCCCCTCCTCCTCCTTTCCCTCCTCCTCGCTTCCTTCTCTTTGTTGCCCGCGCGCAGCATCATTGTCCATGCTTGTTGAGTCGACTTAGCTGTGAAGCCATCCATTGCAAAGAATCCGAACCATCGCGGCGTGTGGCCCCCCCCGAGCCGCGCCTTTTCTCGACTGCCCGCATAATTGTTCGGCCTCGCGCCGCGGACGACCCGCGCGCGTCGCTGGGACCCTCTCGGGGCGACCAGCGCGCGTCGCGGGGATTCCGCGCGGCGCTCTGCTCAGCGCCTCGCTCGCCCGTCGTCGCTCTGCCCAGCGGCCGGAGCCTTGCCCGCAATCAGCCGGCCGGCTAGCTCTCTGTGCTCCGCGCAGCGGACGACCTGCGCGCGTCGCTGGGACCCCTCCGCGGCGACCTGCGCGCGTCGCGGGGGCTCCGCGCTGCTCTGCGCCCGCAGCTTTGGATTTTTGGAGCACGCAGGCAAAAAGGGGGGAAAAGAAGGGACGGAAGGGGGTGCGATCCCCGTGAGGGGCGTGCCGACATGGGCGTCGCGGAGCGCGGGCGCTGCCGTCGGGGTTCCCGCGGAAGCTGCCTGCGGCGGCCACGCCCAGTGTCACAAGTGTTCGGACAGGCACGCTCGAGCCATTCACATTCATATACATTTACACCAGGCGTAGCCAAGATCGCATTCATGCAAATATACTCACCCCCACGCAGACCCATTCACACTCAGACTCTCTCGCGCTCTGGCTCACCCGCGTTCATTCTTTCGTAATCTGACCTATCGTATTCCTTTGCGTTGTGTACCCCGCCATATTTCAGCATGCCCCTCATGCGGTTCGTGGCCCCATAGGGAGCGCCACCGAAGAAGGTACTCACAATTGCGGCACTCACAACTGCATATGGTTGGGTCTTTCGCCCGGATAATTTTGATTTTTTTTTTTGCGTCGCGCACCTGCTGGCCTTCCGCCGGGGGCGCGGCGGCAGTGGAGAGGTGGAACGGACAAGACGAAGCCAGGACGAGGACAACATCGGGTGAGGACAAAGCGAGAATCTCCGAGGTCCGGCGGCTCTGGAGGATGTCTCGGGCACCGCGGCCTTCGCGCAGCGCTCCGGGACGCTCCGAAAGCGATCCAGTATGCTCTGGAACGTATTCGTCCTTGTCCCAGCCCCGTCCTAGGGGGGCTTCGGTCATTTCGCCAAATGTTCGACGTGTTCGCCGGTCCCTGGAGGTGTCCGGGGTGCGTTTCTGCCGCGGCGCCTCGCCGAGCGCCCCGCTCGCCGGAGCTCTGCCCTGGCCTCCGGAGGGAGCAGGGCCCCCATGTCGACTGGACGTCCGAGCCCAGCCCCGTGCGAGCGGAGGCGCGTCCATGCGGGAACCCGCTCGGGCGGGGGCGGCCTGAGCCGAAAGGGCTGCGGAGTGGCGGGAGATCCCACGGCCCGCTGCAGCAGCTCCCACCACGCACGAGGCCCTCTTCTGGGCGGGAGCTGGTGGCCAACCGCCACCGGGCATGGGGCCCTGTGAGCGGCACCCTCTGGGCCCCAGGGCCGGTTTCCACTGGGCCCGCGCGCACCTACCACCGCTCACGAGGGGGCCCCGTGGGCGGCAGGTCGTGGCCGAGTGCCGCCACACAGCTCCGCGCGCGTGCGGCGCCCGGCAGTCGAAGCACGGCCGCCAGAACGTGGGCCAACAGCACAAGCTCTATGGCCGGAGGCACGAGCAACGAGCCCGCTGCACGTGCCGACTTCATGTCATCACTCGCGCGTGTCTTACAACAAAACTGATCTGGCGCACCGTGGGCGTGCCGCGGGCGGGCCGCGAGGCCAAAGGCCCCCCGTGGAGGCACCCCGGTCGAGGAGCGCTGCAGGCAGAAGGGCCCAGACGCGCAGAGCGTCCAGGGTGCCCCTTGAGAGCCGCGGCTGGTCTCAACCCTTGTGTCAGCGGCACGGCCGAAGCATGGCCACGAGGAGGGGGGGACCGGACACGGGCTCCCCCGCCAAAGGCCCCGGGCCCCATGGAGACACCCACGACAACTGACGGGAGGAGGAGGAGGAGGAGGAGGAGGAGGAGGAGGAGGAGGAGGAGGAGGAGGAGGAGGAGGAGGAGGAGGACGAGGAGGAGGAGGAGGAGGAGGAGGAGGACGAGGAGGAGGAGGAGGAGGAGGAGGAGGAGGAGGACGAGGAGGAGGCTGTTCCCAGACCGAAGCATGCGCGTCTGCATTCACATTTGGGACGTCCAGGGGCCACTTGCTTGGTGCACATGTGGAGGATGTGGAGGATCACCGTGCCTGGCCACACAGCGGCCGAGCGTTGGGAAACCATGTGGTCACGTGTGCATCCAGCGCTCGCCCAGACCGGCCTCGTCCTGTGTTTACAACCTCTGGGTAGACATGGGACTCTGTGGCCAGATTTCTCTCGATCCCCGCGCTAGCAACCATATTCTTTTCTCACGAAGGCCAGCAAGAGCCCGACAGTGAAAGTGAACGTACACAAAACTGTTCTTGGGGAAAAAAACAACACCGTCGGGCCCCTCTGGGACCCTGGCAGAAGATGAACTTGGGCGACACGAAGGACACACCATCAGGACAAAGTCGCCACACGAGCCTCGGCAACAATCGACATCCGCAAGCAAATTCGCACCGACTTCAGGCGCATAGCGCGAACCGCGCAAGTGCGGCTCCTTTGTGGCGGCGGCCCAGCACTCCCTTCCACAGTTACGCCCTCCAATACAGATCACCCGCATTCATGCGCTTCAGGCGATGCCACATCGACCCACAAACCTGAATCCTAACAACGACACAATGACCTTAACATCTCCGCGGTCATCGAAACCATCGAGCTGGTTCAGCAGCTCGAGCATGGTGCGCTGGCAGCCAATTTCATTCCCGATTCGCAAGTTATATACATCCTGTCGTGCAACGTGTGAGAAGTCTTACCAGACAGACGAATGTACCTCGATGATGCCTCGGATAATCACATACAATTCTCCCTTGGATCTTGATCCAGGCAGGTGCTTCACCCCAGCATCCTCAGCCTCATACCGTTCTGATGGCACTACCGAAATGCCTGACATTAAATCATGTTTGTGAGCCCGGCATCAGAATCTGGCTAATGTGGCACCTAGCGGCTGCGAATCTATGTTTGAACGGTGCACCATCAAGTCGGTTTCTCCTCTGCTCACCTTCTGGCGCACTGGGTGCTTCCGTTGAAAGTTATTGTTTCCCCCCGTCGCCCTTAAGTATGTTGTGCTGGTACATCTCGGGAATGCTAAAATGAAGAACTACTATATTGGACGGAGGAAACGGGAGGAGTCGAGGGAAGTAAGATGTAAATCCAGATTGGCCCTGCATGCGGGACTTCGGTAGAGCTAGCTAGACGCCGGCCCCAGGAATCCCGAGCAGATTCAAACCCTGGCTCTCTTGGCTTCTTCTTTGCTGTTGCGTGGGTCTCTTGTTTGTTTGCTTGCTCGTCCGTGTATTTGATCTGTCTCTTTGCTCTTTTGGGCCGCAAGTGTGGGCGGCGAGAGCGGCGAAGGCGTGGAGCAGAGGGGCCCGATGAGGCGTGACACAGCAAGGCAGAGAGGGGCGGCCGAACAAAACCCGCCCAAAGCTGCACGTGTCCTGGATTTCCTTCTCACCACCGCTGGTGGTGTCGTAGCGCTTCGTCGCGACAGCATCGATCTCGTCGATGAAGACGATCGAAGGCGCGTGCTCCTGGGGCCGGCAGCGCGGCGTCCCGCCGAGGCAGTTTTGTTGCTTCCCCTTGCTGGCCAAGTCCGTTCACCGTTCAATATCGCACTGTTCTCCCTGCCCCAACTTTTCGCGCAGCCTCAATCTTTGTTCCCAACCATCCTGTGGTGTTGGGTCCTCGTTTTGAAGAAACAGCGCCCCGCGTTCCCCTCCTCCTCCTCCTCTCCTCCTCTCCTCCTCTCCTCCTCCTCCTCCTCCTCCTCCTCCTCCTCCTCCTCCTCCTCCATTTCCTCCCCATCACTCCTCCCGTCCCCCCTCTCATGTTGGCAAGCCCCTCACACGTTGCGTGGCCCCATAGGGAGCTCCACCTGATCGCCCAGTGGCTGTGTCCACATGCGTCTCCCCAACCCAACGCACCGTTTCGTGGCCCCATAGGGAGCTCCACCTAGGGTGAGGCGTCGGTGGTGGTGTCCACATGCGTCTCCCCCTCCCAGCACAGCGTTGCGTGACCCCATGGGGAGCTCCACCTACGCCAAGTGGCGGTGTCCACATGCGTCTCCCCCACCCAACACAGTGTTGCGTGGCCCCATAGGGAGCCCAACCTGAAGCCCCAGCGGCGGTGTCCACATGCGTCTCTCTCACCCAAGACAGCGTTTCGTGGCCCCATGAATAACTTCACCTGAGGCCCCAATGCTGGTGTCCACATGCGTCTCCCTCACCCAGCACGCCGCCTCGTGGCCACATGGGGAGCTCCACCGAAGGCCCCAGTGGCGGTGTCCACATGCGCCTCCGTCACCAAACACAACGCTTCGTGCCCCAATAGGGAGCTCCACGTAAGGCCCCACTGGCGGTGTCCACATGCTTCTCCCCCACTCAACACAGCGTTGCGTGGCCCCATAGGCCGAGAGCCTTCGTGGCGCAGTCCGCATGAGTCTCCCCCACACATTGCGGCACACCCCTCACGCAGTTCGCTTTTCCAGAAAGGGGTCCACCGAAGGCCCCAGTGGCGTAGTCCGCATGCGTCCCCCCCACCCATGTCACGTTTCTTGTCCCTATAGGGAACTCCACGGAAAACCCCAGTGGCAGCATTTTCATGCGTCCCCGCCGCCCAATCGGCACACCCCTCACGCGTATCGTCTTCCCACAACGAGCTCCACCGAAAGCTCCTGTGGCGCTGCCCACATGCGTCCCCGACACCTATTTCGGCACGCCCGTGCACATCGTCGTGGACCCTCGAAATCGGGGCGACGTCGACAAAGCCGAGAGAGACGGGGAGAAGAGGATCAATCTGAAGCACTTGCCAAGGGGTTTCTGGGTGCGCATGGAGAGGTACGCTAGCGCACCCTTCGTGGACGACCTGAAACGCCACGACGACAGCCTCACGGGGGACCTCGCGGGTCCGCTGGTGTTCATCGAGCCCCGCGCGCCGGAGCCGCTCACCCTCTACTGGACGGGGCACTGCACGGGTTTTTCTAGAACGTCGGGCACGCTAGTTCAAGGGTGGTTTCGCACTGAATTGGCGATGGGATGTCAGGAGGATGTCGGTCGGATGTCGGTGGGATGTCGGTGACATGTCGGTGAGATGTCGGTGAAATGTCGGCGAGATGTCGGTGAAATGTCGGGACATTCCCGCCGCGCCCGCCATGCTCAGCCACCGCCCCCACCAGGACCCCCCCCCCACCCTCCACCCCCCCCTCCCCCCCCCCCTCCACCCCCCCCCTCTCCCCCCCCCCAACCCCCCTCCCCCCGCCCTCCACTTCAGCCCTACAGGGGCCCTACTCCCACCCACGCGAGGCGACCAGAGTCTGTCCAGCGAGACAGTGGCTTCAGTTGAACCAGCTCTGCTCCGACGTCGCCGCCAGCGAAACGACCGACAGACGACGAGCGACACGCGACGCCGGACGGACGACGACGACGACGACGGCAATGACGACACGACGGCGTCGGCGTCTGCGTCGGCGTCGGCGTCGGCGTCGACATCGGCGTCGGCAGCGGCAAGGCGACGACGATACGATACCTCCTCACCCTCAACCCTCAACCTCATCGCCTCTATCCGGCCACCTTCTCTCCCGCCTCCTCCGCCTCATCACCCGATCACCCTCATTATCCTCATCCTCCTTCAACCGCCTCGAGTTTCGTCATTGCTATGATCCTCCCTCCTCCCGATATCCGTCGTCCCGCCTACGACGCCAGTCCAACTCCGAACGACGACGGCGGTTCGGCGGCCCGTCGATGGCGTCGACGGCGCCAACGCTGTTGCCGGCAGCGACGGCAGACGGCGTCGGTGGCGGCGGCGGTTGCCGCATATCACGACCGCCAGGTCCAGCGATGGGAGGGGGGAGGGGCTGGCAACCGCTCGCCTGCCCATGCCAGCGTCAGGCCGAAGGCCATACTGAGAGCAGACGCAGGGGAGAGGGGATGTGAGATGGGAGGGGGGCGGACAGGGTGCGAGGAGAGAGATGAGGTGACAGGGTAGGAGTCAGGAGGTAAGAGGGAGGGTGGACACGCGGCACGCAGGGGGAGGAGGAGGGCTGAGGAGGGGAAGCGAGCGTGTGGCTCAAGGCTGACAGTGGCTCGACAGAACGCACATGTTTGGTCTCTCGCACGGGTTGGGTTGAATACAGCGCGCGGAGCACGGTGCGACGGCGCATGCTGAAGCACTGACATATCATCGAAAAGCGGTGCGCCGCGAGCGGGCACATCGAGATCTGAGAAGAGCTGGCGTCGGCGACCGTCGGCGTCTGGACCTGGTGTCCAGAGGAACGCCCGAGGACCTGACCCCGCAAGCTCTCAGTCGCTGTGAGCCAGCGACTGATGCACTGTCAGGGCCTGGGCGACAACCGAACACGCCGACCACTCTGTACACGGCGTGGCGGACGATCCACCTCGTGTTTTTTTTATGGCTTTAGCGTTTTTCTTACATCGCTGCGTAGCACATAGCGCGGACCAGGGATGGCATGGAGACGGCGAGTCCGCCAGTCCGCCAATCCGCGCAGCTGAAAGTCTAGGCAAAATAATTCGCCCCCCGCTGAGCCGACCCAGGTCACGATCACAACAGGGGCAACTGGCGATGAGGGAACGATCGAGGATTCGGCGGCCAGCTGAACCCGGGCGAACCGCGTGCTATACACCTCGTGCGTTGCATCACTGCCATCGATTCGAAGCGCCAGCCACTATGGCCTGGCGACGGCGGCGGGCACAACGAGCAAGACTTGATGGTCCCACCGCGCGCATCCGCATTCCATCCTGTCCTGTCTTACTCCCTCCTTTGTCCTCCTGAGCCGTCCCTCCCGCCACTACGGTACCATTCACTTCTTCGGCTTGGCTCCCTTCTTGGCAGCGCTGGGCTTCGCCGCGGCCTCGGCCTTGCGCGGCTTCTTGGCTGGGGGCGGGCCCGCATCCGAAGCGGGGGCGGGGGCGCCTGGCGTTGCGGCAATGCTGCTGGAACTGCTAGCGCCAGCGGGAGCGGGGGCGGCAGCTGCGCCGGCGGGAACGAGCTGCTGCGGCGGCGCCTGGATGACCACTCCAGCGTCAGCGGCCTCGCCAGTGACCGCGTGGAGATCCTCCAAGCATTTGGAGATGCAGCCGTGGGGCGACATGGAGTTCGCAGTCGTACTCCTGACGGCCTCGGGCAACCCCGTCGTCGTCGTCGTCGTCGTCGTTGTCGAGTCGACGGCGATACCGCATCGCCGTCGACTCGACAACGACGACGACGACGACGACGACGACGACGACGACGACGACGACGACGACAACGACGACGACGACGACGACGGCGACGACGACGACGACGCGACGACGACGACGACGACGACGACGACCGACCACGACCGTCGTCCATCGTCGCCATCGTCAGCTCGTGAGACGTGGCCTTCTTCACCAGGCCCTCCCGCGTCTCGCCCTCGCGAGTGGATCGCCAGAACGCAACCAAGTACGTGCAGCTGCCCACGACCTGGGGCGCCCGATAAATGACTGAAAAAATAAGGAGGTGGCGCGGCAGCGGGAGGGGCATCAGCAGCGGCGGCCGCAGCAGCATCAGCAAGAGCAGCAGCGGAGGGGGCGGAGGGGAGGAGTGGTGGCGAGGTCAGGTCGAGGGCGGATGGGATGCGGAAGGGCGGGGAGGAGGAGGAGGACGAGGAGGAGGCTGATAAGAAGAATATGATGATGACGACGATGATGATGATCAGAGGAGGAGGATCAGGAGGAGGCGGGAGGGGGGGTGGAAGAGGAGGAGGGCGAGGAGGAGATATAGGAAGAGGAAGGGGGGAGTCACGAGGAAGAGGTGGAGACAGACCGACGGCCGACGGGGAAGGGGGGAGGCGGATGGAGGAAGAGAGGAGGGAGGAGGAGGAGGAGGAGGAGGAAGAGGGAGGGAGGGGAAACGGCCTGGGGGGGGGCGGCCCCGGGACCACGGCCACCGCTGCCGCTCCAGGTCCTGGGCGCGTTTCCATCTCAGAGCAGCCCCCCCCCACCCAAAAAAAAATACCCTGCAGGGCAGATCCACTCCACTCCCGCCGTCACCTCGCCCGCCCTCCATCCTCCTCCTCCTCCTCTCTCCTCTCTCCTCGCTCCTGCTCCTCCTCCACAGCGTTGCATGGTCCCGCTGACCTGGGTGGCCCGCGTGATCACAGGGTCGTCCACGAAGGCGATGTGCGTGGACTCACCCGCCACGGTCTTCACCGCCTCCACAAGCTGCGCCCCGGCGCCCTTGACCCAGACGACGAGGTCGAGCAGCTTCTTCGTCGCCGGGCGCATCGCGAACTCGTAGAAGACTGGCTTGTCGCTGATGGTGATCGCCGCGCCGCTCCTATCTCGAGCTTGAAGCGATACCTCGATCTGGTTGAGCGCGTCGAGGTGGCCGCTCATGTCAGTGATGATGAGTTGCATGAACCGTGTCACAACTTCGATAGCGCGATGCTTCCTATGCAGCAGCCACTCAGACAGCGCGACCATCATCGCATCGTACGCCATCGTGAAGGGGGCGAAACTGGCATCAATAGAGTGCCACGCGTCCTCGATGTCAGACAAG